GATGAATTAATTTAGATTTTATATCAGTTTGTCTTCTGGTTTCTTTATGTACAGTTCATAAATTCAGTGTTCAGTAAATAATTTCAGTCAAAAACTGCTTTTAATCACTCTAAATTTTCTGTTAAAATTTTTTGTTCGAATTACTGAATATTCGAGCAAAAAATTTTTTTATAAAAATTCGAAACCGGTTAAAACCGGTTTTCTGGAAAAATTACTATTCGAAAACCGGTTTTCTAAAATGTCGGTTTTTGTATAAACCCTAGTGTATACAATATACGTATAACATATCAGAAATGCAATTTTAATCAAATTCTTGTATTTTCGTGGTTTCTGTTAGGAAAAATGAGCTTTTCGTTGGCCAGGTAGAGGCTAAACTCGCTACAAAGTAGGTGCCATCTTTTGGCAGCAATTTATGTCCCATTTATACAATGGCTTCTTCGGATGAAAGTGTTACTGTATCTTTCTTCCACCTGATCGATCGGTTTGTAAATCAAAACAATTTTTTCTTATCGTTAAAGTTCACAGGTCACATAACGCAGGGACAAACTGTATGTATATGAAATGCACGCATCGCTAATGATTTGGGCATGAGATGGGTCGCCGCAAAATTCGTACCAAAATTGCTCAATTTCGACCAAAAACAGTATCGCGTTAACATTGTTAAGAAGCTGCAGGACTCTGTCCATCACGACCCAAATTTGCTCCAGAGGGTCATGTCTTGTAGCGAATCATGGGTTTATGGTTATGACGTGGAAACCAAAGCTCTATCATCCCAATGGAAGCTGCCGTACGAGCCAAGACCGACAAAAGCGCATCAAGTTGCTTACAGTTTTCTTCGATTGCAGGGTCATGGTGCATCATTAGTTCATCATATTGCCACAGGGTAGAATGGTCAATAAAGAATATTACCTGCAAGCAGTCCAATTTGCGCGAAGCAATCGCCAGAAACGTCCGGATTTGTGGAAAAACAAAAAGTGGCTTTTGCACCATGATAACGCCCCTGCTCACACATCGTAGCTTGTACGCGAATTTTTAGCCAAAAACAACACGCTAAGAATGCCGCAGGCACCGTATTCCCCAGATCTGGCTCCCTGTGATGTTTTCTTGTTCCTGAAGCTAAAGAGGCCCATAAAACGACGTCGCTACGCTACAATTAAGGAGATAAAGACGGCATCGAAGGAGGAACTAAATAAAATCACATAAAATGATTTCACGAATTGCTTCGAGAATTGAGAAAAACGTTGTGCACTGGTGGGGATTACTTGAAGGAGACAAAATAGATATTCATGAATAAATAAATAAGTTTTGAAAAAACACAAAATTCGCGATACTTTTTGAACACACGTCGTATATGTTCTTCTGAAATAAATGTTATCGGTTTTAATTACTATCAATACTATTAACGAAAATCGCCAATAACGAACAACCGTGTTCATTATAACCGAGTTCGAATGTACTTATATACTTATACCTAAAGCTTTATAGACATTTGGATTAAAAGGTTTTGATGTTATACGATTAAATGTCCTGTTTACCTAAGTTGCTAGATGTAACCAACTACCCCAACCTAGAAATGTGGTTTTTAGAGCAGTCGCACAGCATGTGTACACTGTATAGGTCGTAAAATTAATCAAAAATAGAAATTTTCAACAATAGTAGTATCTTCGTTTGTTCGTCTTGTTATTGAAACGTTTCTTCAAAGAAAAAAATAAACCAGTGGTAGTTAAAGCGTATCGTAAAAAAATAATAAATTGCAGTCAACGACCAAAAAATTTGTAAAATAAACAAGGTGTGCGCCTAAATTCTGACACTAATGTGTGAACCGGTACCGCCCACAGCCTCCTACGATCCACAAAACGCGAATTATCAAATATCGCGAGGCAATTTATAACCGCGCCGTTCGTAGGTATATCATCTGCGTATATCGCTCGCGCGCCAAGATTTATCGAATGTTTTTCTAATTTCTTTTTCTTCTTTTCAGGTCTCCCGCCGCCGTTGCTCGTCATCGACGACACAACTAAAACAAAAGGTAGATGATGATTTGTTTTTCTTTTTTCTTTTGTTTGACGTTGCCTTTTTGTTGTCTCTTTATGATTCTTTCTCGATTTTTATCATCAACATAAAAGAGCACATTGTCATTATTATTGATTAATATATTGAAAGGAGTAGAATTACGACTTTTGCTTAAAAATATATTTAATACACTCTTTTCACTTATGGTGTACAATTCGGCACAGTCAAAGAGCAATACCACTTAACTCGCTCAACTACCAAGAAAGAATGCCTCTTTTCCCTTTTGGTATATACATAGGTATATACCATACATATATTCATAGACTAAATAGTAAACTAAATTATAAACAAAACACCGCTCTCCGGCAAGGAATAGTAGTCCCGCAGAATATAAACAATGACGTGGTCACGAACAGCCAGAGGAACTCCAAGGCAGAAATAGGTTCTTACAATATTGTCCAGATTTTATGACGACGGTATCGTTGGACGCCCGTTTGAATAATTATAATGAATAATGGAGATCGTCTACATATTCCGCGAATGATGTCCTGGTGGTGTACGAGTGCAGAGGCGACTCGTTTTAATAATCAGCAGTGCGTGACAGAGAAAACATCTACGAAGAAAATTAGTTATTAGTCTATTTCAATTTGTTAGAATTGTGACCTTGAAGAATTTGCGCGAAGATACAAAGAATACACACTAGGCGTGAGCAAGACAGAAATAGTTGGAACAAGCTTGAATGAGCAGAGCTCTCGATGGGCGGTCTTAGGAGAGCGGCTAGAACTGTACAGTACTAGACGAAAATGTTTAGCAATTTCTTAAAACAAAAATATATACAATTTAACAATAGAAAACAAAGCAAAAGTTTTACAGGTGTGTAGAACGTTAAGTTAATTCACTTGTTATTATTTTTGGCTAAATATGCTTTTAAATAAAGCAGATTCTTACATTTTAACGAGGCAGTTTAAATAATTTTGCGAATGGTACTGTACACTTTTGTCTATTTCTCGATCGATGATCGGTGGAGAAATGAGCTCCACAGACAAATATGATTGAATTTGGAATTATGCTACTACGCATCCTAATAAAATGAAGGGACATATCTCTAACTTCTTGAAACGAATAGTAGTTATGGAAGGATAGTTAGCGTACCAAAAAGAAGGGGGATGAATAACGCATGCGTACAAAATTTAAAAAATGTCGATGCAACGGTTAGTAGCGTTTGCAGAATGAAAAGGTTGACGGCGCATGCGCGAATGGTCGGGAATTCAGGAAAAATTATGTAGATAAAGACAGTATATAACTGAACATGACATAACGCGTCTTAGGTAACTAATTTTATGGAATTTCAGTTTTTATTCAGTAATGTAACCTAGGTCTATCTCTACCCCTCTTAACTGCTATTTCTGCTTGGAATAATTATGTTTCCAACTAATAGTCCTTCATGCCCAGTAGCGTATTTTAGTTCAGTACTTCTCAGTGATAATTAAATCTAGCCGCTCCCCTCCATCCTTGCTGTATAAAATATTAGTTATAAAAAAAACAATTGTTGCAAAAAGCATTTACTTGGACTCATTGTATTAAAGCAGACACTAAATTAGTTTTCTATAATATTGGGCTAAACTAAAATGTAATTCGACTTCAGATGCAGTCGTTAATGTTCACTGTTACTTTTTTACATTCAAGTGAAAAATTTTTTACCGGTTCTTCCAGTTAAAGATATAATAGCCCGTTCAACCCATACAAAAATATGCCACTTTTCATGCCTGAGAAGGTGTTCTACCAATTAACCTATCTCACTTTTTTTACAAACTTCAATAGCGTATTCTGCTCTCCTACTCCTACTTCTTCTAATGCACCCTCAATTCTAACCGTTTCTCTTTTTTGACGTGACAACGTCTTATAATTCGATGGAGCCGCCGGCTGCACGCACGAAAAAACATGACTCATGCGGCGTTACCTCGCTCTGAGGCGTTCCATTTAAGGCTTGAAGTGCAAGCGAGAGCGCGGAACGAGCGACAAAGAGGCACAATCGGCCTCCGCGTTCGGCAGCGTTCGACATCTGTCTCTCTCCTACTTGAGTGAGCGATGCGTCCGCGTGGACAGCTGCTATACAATAATACATTTCCATTTACCTCCTTCTCTATATCCATACAAAATATCTATCAAACAAATAAAATTAAAATTTTCTTTTGAAAAATGAAACCATTCCATCAGTATTTTCTTATGACGTTGTTACATTCAACTATCGTCAGTAAACCGACTTTACAGACAACCGATTTTTTTTGTCAAAGAATTTTATAATTGATTCGGTAGTTAAGGGATTTCCCCCACCATCCACCATACAGATAGAAGTTTACCTCTTTACATACAATATTAGTGTAGTTAATGTAAGTAACAGTCTCGTGGTCTAGTCAAACTTAAAAACATGATTTGAAATGTTTCTTTTACAGTTAAAAGAATCTGACAGGTTTTAATTCTAAATCAATTTCATACGACGACGTTAGTAAACGTGACTAATGTTTTGACTTCAAAGAAACTCGCGGAAATCTCGAATAAACACTTTTGACATCTTCGATTCCTTCGTGACACTTAACTTTGCGACAAGTTCCACGGATAACACACACGAGATGGATCTTGACGTGATGCGGATCGTTTCGTATCAGTCGCAGTCGGCTTGGCTACGAACGAAACAAAACGCAACGGCTAATGGAAGTACGTACGTATGAGAGCGAGTATGCGAGTATCTATAGAGTCATGTAACCTCTCTATAAACAATGTTTCCGAACGTTTTACATCAGTCTCACAAGTCGTAATTCGTTCCGTGCCGGCAATGCCGTCTTGTAATGCATATATTACGTCTGTTTCGTACTTGTTGTGCGTCGTCTTGCCAGAATGTTAAAAAGTGGCCGTTTCACTCTTTCTCGTCCGATTGATTTAGAAATCGCGGCCAACTGATACATTCGTACATATACATGTGCGTATACACCACAGGGAAAAGTTTAAACGATCGTAGGGAAATTCTGTTAGGTGCAATTCAAATGTATGGAATATTGGTAGGTCTGATGACGATTATGACGTATGAAAGAGAAGGGTTTTACTCCCCTACATCGATACCCATCCCGAGTAAATATAAAAAGAATTATAACACCACAGAATCGCCACCAAATATCTGAAATGAGCTAAATTACCACATCATCAAATCATCTAAAACAGCACCAAAACTTATCGTATATGAAAATGAAAATATTGATTAATCAATACCAATTTATCCATCAGATATTTAAATTATTATTAATTAATTTTAACACATATATATCTACAGTTACAGATGATTATTTTTTTGAAAAATCTATAATTACATACTATCCCAACCCTTATAATAATTATGTCCCTCCAACCTTCCCTAATTCTCCACCTAATTTGAATCAAAATTTTTCATAAAATTTTCCCCCATATCCATCACCCTACAGTGTTCCGCTAAATCCGCATTCTATACCTTAGCAGTATCCAATTTATAATTATCAGCCTCATCCAAATCACTATCAACATTACCACCCACAATTTCACGCCCAGTAACAAAATTATTATGAAAATAGTAATAATAGCTACTTTAATAACAATAATCTATGGTTACATATTTTCATTTTTACTAGCTCTCAGAGATATACTTTACAAAAATTTTTGAAAAACTATCTACCTCATCAGTATCCAATTTATAATTATCCGCCTCATTCAAACCACTATCAACATTACCACCCACAATTTCACGCCCAGTCACAAAATTATTATGAAAATAGTAATAATAGCCACTTTAATAATAATGATAATAGTTATATCTATATACATTCAAATTTTAGTATTCCTTTAGTGCTGTTTTGGCACTTTTTTTATTAAAAATGGGTCGCTCTTTCGGTGGTATTTCAGTATCTTTCTAGAAAGCAATCGGTACTGTATCCGTGTTTTTTATGTACTAAATGCGGTACTGTTTCAGTACTCCATTCGTACACAATCGGCGGTTTAGTCCTGCAAACGGACCTCTTCCGGTATTATTTTAGAGAAGTTTATGGACCTAGTTTGGTCGTAATTCAGTAGAGTGAAATTGAAAGGAATAATTTTTACTTGGGATGCGAGAACAAAACAACATTTCGTCGTTAGTAGAGGTAATTTAGAATGACATGATCCATGGCCTTGGTTTACGTAGTGACAAATCTCCATTCCTCAATTAATTTCTACATTTCTACCTCCTAATAACATTGATCTTCACAATTTTAAGTTTACCTAAAGCTTCATCCTCGGTAATTAATAGAATAACGGCCTTGTGAATGTTTAGTAATTAGTAAATGTAGAATATGAATGTGATAATGCCCGTTCTCTACCATGCGGACTGCTGCGTTATTCTTTTTGATATTATGTATTTCTAATACATAGAATATTGGAAGGACTGATGACGATTATGACGTATGAAAGACGAGGTATGTACTCACCTACAACGATCGAACCGATGCGGTCACACTTTGCCAAAAAAAATTCCCGTGTGTTGTGAAACTACAACAATTTTCCAATATTTCAACTGAAAATTGTTACTAACTTGCTCCGGCAATTAAGGGAGAGAGTACGTCTGTTCCGGTAGAACTACGCATAGGCGATACTTTGCTAACGTCTTGTGGAAAATATGATTCTCCGTATTTTACATGGCCGTTTAAATACATTCCCCATCGGTATATGCGTATGTGTTGGTCGGTGTACATGTAAGGTGACTTGACTCGAGTATCTCTTTTTAAACATATCGTAAATACGGAACGTGGTTGTTGCTAAACTGTGTTCTTCTTAGCATATACAATATACTCGGTTATAATGTACCGAAGGGAACCATTAAAATCGGTGCATTCTGCCAGAATTTCGTTAAAAATGGTCAAAATCATTAAATGTATAAGGATAAAAAGAGCCCAAATAGCATTTGTGATGCATTAGGTACATACAGGGTTTGTCCGGAAAGTAATAGGACTAATTCCC